TCAGAAATATGTCCGACTTAAATTTACAGGTGTCACAATGTTAATAGCATGATTATTCCTAAATTTAATCATGAGATAAATTTAGAGCGGCTTATATGTTTAGAGGAAATCAATGAGTGTGAGGATGAAGTAGAATGTGATGTTCCTACCAAATTGTTAAGATTGGTAGAAAAAGAAGATAAACAAATTTTACCTCACAAAGAAGAGATTGAGATTATAAATCTGGGAAACAATGAAGAAATGAAAGAAGTGAAAATTGGTACTACTTTGTCAGCCTAGATAAAACGAGAATTGATAAATCTCCTCCAAGAGTTCAAAGATATCTTCGCTTGGTCTTATAAAGATATACTTGGTTTGAGTACGAATATAGTGGTGCATAAACTTCCGATCAGTCCAGAATATAAACCTGTTCAACAAAAGCTCAAACGAATGAGGCCAGAAATGTTGTTGCAGATTAAAGAGGAAGTGATGAAGAAAATTAATGCAGGTTTCCTACAGGAAACCAAATATCCATAATGGGTAGCCAACATAATTCCAGTACCAAAGAAGAATGGGAAAGTTCGAATGTGTATGGATTACAGAGATCTTAATAAAGCTAGTCCGAAAGATAGTTTTCCATTACCTCACATAGACACATTGGTGGCCAATACTGCAGGACATGCATGGTTTTCATTCATGGATGGCTTTTCAGGGTATAATCAGATAAAAATAAACCTTGAAGACATGGAAAAAACAACACTTGTAACCATGTGGGGCACTTTCTGTTACAAAGTAATCCCATTTGGATTGAAAAATGCAGGGGCAACGTATCAGAGAGCAATGGTAACTTTGTTCCATGACATGATGCATAAAGAGATTGAAGTATATGTGGATGACATGATTGCAAAGTCCTGAACTGAATAAGAACATATTCAAAATCTAAGAAAGCTTTTCCAGAGATTGAGAAAGTATCAATTAAAGCTCAACCCCGCTAAATGCACTTTTAGGGTAACATTAGGAAAGTTTTTGGGATTTGTAGTAAGCCAAAAAGGAATTGAGATTGATCCATATAAAGTGAAAGCAATTCAAAATCTTCCACCACCCAATACAAAAAAAGAAGTTTGAGGCTTTTTGGATAGATTAAACTATATATCTCGATTCATTTCTCAATTAACTGACAAATGTGATCCAGTGTTCAAATTAATTCGAAAGAACAATCCTGAAGTCTGGAATGATGAATGTTAAGAAACTTTAGATATTATTAAGAAATATTTATCCAATGCACCCATTTTAGTAACACCAGTACCTGACCGTTAATTCTCTACTTGGCAGTCTTTGAAAATTCAATGGGATATGTACTGGGACAACATGATGAGTCTGGAAGAAAAGAAAAAGCCATTTATTAACTGAGTAAGAAGTTTACTGATTGTGAAATTCGATACCCACCAATACAAAAATTATGTTGTGCCTTAGTGTGGGCTACTCGAAGACTCAGACAATACATGTTATATCATACCACTTGGCTGATATCTAGATTTGATCCTTTAAAGTTCTTAATGGAATCACCAACTTTGACAGGCAAAATGGCTAGATAGAAGATGTTATTATCTGAGTTTGATATCATATATGTCAACCAAAAAGCAATAAAAGGAAGTGTCATAGCAGATTTTTTGGTCAGTCGTGTATCAGATGATTATCAGTCTCTGAGTTTTAATTTTCCAGATGAAGATTTGTTGTGCATATCCATGAATGAAGAATTCAGAACAAATGATGAATCCTGGAAGCTTTATTTTTGATGGAGCATCCAACGCCTTGGGACGAGGAATTGGGGCAATGTTAATTTCTCCAGAAAATATCTATTATCCTTTTACAAGCAAATTGGAATTCTTTTGCACCAATAACATGGCGGAATATGAAGCATGTGTAATGGGATTGAAGGCAGCCATAGAAAGAAAAATTAAATTTCTCAAGATATATGAAGATTCATCGTTAGTGGTATATCAATTACGAGGAGAATGTGAAACAAAAGATCCCAAATTACTGGAATACCGAAATTTTATCCTTGAATTAGTGAAAGAATTTGAGAGAGCTGCCTTTAATTATCTCCCTCGAGAGAAAAATCAAATGGCATATACTTTGGCTACATTAGCTGCTATGTTTCAGGAAAATAAAAAAATTGATATGATGCCGATCAAAATAGAAGTTTATGAAATTCCTGCACATTGCTATAGTGTAGAATAAGAAGCAGATGGCAAGCCATGGTATTATTATATCTTGCAATATATAAAATATCAAAGTTATCCACAAAATGCATCTGAGATTGATAAAAGAACATTGAGAAGAATGGCTGCTGAATACTTTCCATGGCTAGAAAAATAATGAGATATGGGTATTATTGGGCTACTATGCATACAGATTGCATCGATTATACAAGGAGATGTCATAAATGCTAGATATATGCAGATAAGATTCATGCACCTCCATCGCCTTTACATGTAATGACAGCACCTTGGCCATTTTCTATGTGGGGAATAGACGTTATTGGGGTAATTACACCAAAAGCATCAAATGGACATTATTTCATCCTAGTGGCAATTGACTATTTCACCAAGTGGGTTAAAGCTGCTTTATATGCCAATATTAAGAGGTCTACAATTTGCAAATTTATAAAGAAAGAAATAATCTGTCGGTATGGGCTACCAGAGAGAATCATTACAGATAATGCTTTGAATTTGAACAACAAAATGATGACTGAACTTTGTGCACAATTCAAGATCAAGCATGCAAACTCAGTGACATATCGCCCAAAGATGAATGGGGCAGTTGAAGCAGCAAATAAGAACATCAAGAGAATCATTACAAAGACTATTGAAAATTACAAAGATTGGCACGAGAAGTTACCTTTTGCTTTATATGCATATCGAACTATTGTGCGAACATCTACTGGGGCAACGCTTTTTTCTTTAGTCTATGGGATGAAAGCAATCTTACCAATTGAAGTTGATATCCCATCACTTCGAATCTTGAGAGAGGTAAAATTGGATGAGTCTGAATGGATCCAAGCTCGATTTGATCAATTGAACCTTATTAATGAGAAGAGATTGAAAGCTATTTTCCATGGGCAGATGTATCAGAAACGGATGATGAAGTCTTATGACAAGAAAGTACATCCAAGAGAATTCCAAGAGGGTGATCTAGTGCTGAAAAAGATCTTGCCCATACATAAAGATTTCCGTAGGAAATGGATGCCTAATTGGGAAGGGTCATATATTGTAAAAAAGGCATTTTCCGAAGGAGCGTTAATCTTGGTAGAAATAGATGAAAAAGTTCTGAGAAATCCAATAAACTCATATTCTATCAAGAAATATTATGCTTAAAGAAAAAAAGAGAAAAAAGAAAAAAGAAAAAGAAAATAAAAAGTAGAAAATAAAACGGAGGGTCAAGATGAAAACCCACATAGGGCGTCTTGCAACCAAATGAAGGATTTGAGTTGAAAACCTGAAAGGGCTACTCAAATGCATGTTGATATTAGGCATCTGGCAATTACTCCCTCTTAAGAGTTTAATATTTTGGGAGAAGCTTTACATCTACAAACATTCTGGCAACGTTCAAGATCTTCCAGACATAAGCTTACCTCAGTGCTCTAAATTATATCAAATTGATTAGTTTAGAAATACTTATGCTAATAATTTGTTGAGTCATTTGAATTTTTATCATTTCTATGTTTGCCATAACTTTGAATACATTTCTATTTATTTATTAATAGATTCCAAGTTTATCTTTTCGAAATTCAATTTATTTTCGAAATTCAATTTATTCTTTCATATAAACATCTTGCAAATGGATTAACATAATTTTAAAACAAACAAAATTTATGGATATCACTTTATGTTAATACTTTTAAGTGCAATGAATCCAAAGTAAGTCTTATCAACATTTGCAATCATTGTTGAAAAGCGAACAAGTTATTACCATCATAGAGTAATTTGGAAGCAAGTAAAACAGAAAAGCAGAAAAGAAATTCTGAGCAGAAGCTACAAGAAATGATGAATGTGTTGTCAAATGCTTTACGAACATTGAAAATTTAGGCAGAAGCAACAAGAAAGAATGAATATGTTGTCAAATGTTTTACGAACCAGTAATTATGGTGCTGAACTAATATTGCGATCATGTGGTGTTTACATTTATTGATCCAAAATGAAGTTTGTCTTCTTCAACACCAAGGTTTAAAGTGAAATATGGAAGATTTTTTTCCAACAGAAGGGGAGCTGAAATTTTAACAACAAGAAACTAGTGGAGCCAGCTAAGATTGAACAACAGATTGTTGTTAAGTATCTCGACATAATACGATCTGAATGGTTTTGTTCGAGATCTGATTAGATGTGGAGACATGAAAGGAATTAGGATAAATTTTCCTTATGATGTGTTTCAAGAGTCAAATCAGAACATATAATGCTTTCTTAATTTATCTCTACTAAGTTTGGCATTCTACATTCTTAAAGATGATAGATGCTCTCTTCAAAAATGATAGATTCTCTTTTCAAAGAAGAAAGATTTATTGGATTTCTACACAAGTCCAAGCAAAGAAAGTCGGTGTATTATCCATGATAAAATGGGGGAACAAGGTCATAATTCTAACCGCAGCAAGAATTTTGTGAATGAAACATTTCTTCTGAGACTTTAACACAAATGAAGCGAAGAAGATATAATAAGTCTCTTCTAGAAAAGAGAATGCCAGCTTGAAATGACATTTTGACTAAGTGAAGGAAGACTGAGTTCACCACTTTGAAATCAAATAAAAATGAACTTAATATTCATGCATCATATTTAGACATTTGTAAAAATATGGACATTTTCATTCATTTTATCAATGTTGAATATTTGACAGGAATTATAAAGATTAGCAAAGATTTCAACAAAAATTTGAATTCATCACTCGATGGATCAACATTTCCAGAAGAGTTCATAATGAGAAGAACTCATCTGAAGAAGAAGAAGAATTTCATAATGAGAAGAGCTTGTTCAACCTTTTGCTTGATTCTATCACAAAAGAAGATAGATCAACATCAACATTTTCAGAAGGAGTTCATAATGAAAAGAACTCATCTGAAGAAGAAGAAGAAGTTCATAATGAGAAGAACTTGTTCAACCTTTTGCATGACTCTATCATAGAAGGAGATAGATCATCATACACTTTTCCAGAGAAAGTTCATAATAAGAAGAACTTATCTGAAGAGGAAGAAGAAGTTCATAATGAGAAGAACTTGTTCAACCTTTTGCATGACGCTATCACAGAAGGAGATAGATCAACATTTCCAGAAGAGTTCATAATGAGAAAAACTCATCTGAAGAAGGAGAAGAAGTTCATAATGAGAAGAATTTGTTCAACCTTGCCTTAATTTATCACATATGAAGCTGAATTAACAACCCATCTTTTGAAGATCAGCATTTTCAGAAGGATTTCATAATGAGAAGAACGCATCTAAAGAATAAGAAGAAGTTCATAATGAAAGAATTTGTTCAACTTTTTTTTGCTAGATTACATCACAGAAGGAAATAAATTGTCATCCCCAGTGGGAGAGTTCATAATGAGAAGAACTAATCCCAGAGAAGAACTTGTTCAACATTTCCATCCTAATCAAGTGAAGTCAAATGAAAAAAAAACTTATTGTCTTTTCGTCTTTGCCCTATTCTTGTTAACACAAGAATGAGCAAAGAGGGGCAGCTGTAGATATCAGTTTTTTCATTTTTTATTTTATTATTATTATTTATATTATTATTATTATTATTAATTAATTATTATTACAGGCCCAAACCAGAACCCAGATACATAACCCAGAAACCCAAACCGACCCAAATGTGTAACCCTAAACCTATTTAAGGTTTGTATCTCTGCCCCAGCTGCCATCAACCATCCATCGTTGGATCTAATGAGATCCAACGGTCCACAAACGCGCCAGAAAGAACCCTAGGGTTATGATTCCCTAGGGACTACACCGATTGTCGTCGCTCCACGTCTCAGCCAGCTGTTGCCAAGCCCCGTCGTTTCAACAAGAGACTCCAGAAGACTTAAGGGAGACCGTCCACATTGTGACCTTAAGGTGACTCACCACTGTGGGTTCGATGACTCACTGAGGGGTGTTCTTTTACCCGGTCCGAGGCAAGGTTCGTGGTGGCTATCAAAGACATTAAACCTGCAAACAAACAAGGACATAAAGCAAATAAAAAGAACAACCAGCATCAACTATTCGGAAAAAAAAAGAAAAGAAGAAAATACTTACCACGATCATCGGAATCTTCACGGAAAGCCGGAAAACCGAAACCATCAAAGGTAAAAACCTTCGGGTTTTTTTATCTAGGGTGATCTAGGGTTTTTTAGGTAAAAAATAGGCTATATTTGAGATAAGGGAGAATTGGGCTTCATTTTTATGTAAAATAGTATTTTTTCGGCCACCGGAGGCGATGGCCGACGGCGGTAGATAGCTGCCGGCCGGTGAACAGATTCCCTCCGGTGAGGGAATCCTAGAGAGAGGCGAGAGAGTTTTCATCTCTCTCAGTTAGAGAGAGAATGGGAAAGGAGAGAATGAGAGAAATGGCCTTAAGGCCAGCCATTTTAGGGTATTTATACCCCTTCCCAAATGACACCGTTTTGGGGGAGGGGTATATGCGTAATTTAAAAGGGGTAAATTATACCCGTTGTCATCCTATATTTATAAACTTCTATTTTAGTCACTGAATCAAATATATGATTCTTTTAATTTGATATTTAAATTTCATTTAATTTATAATTTAGTCCTTAACATAATTATATATATTTTAAGGTAAATAACCAATTTAGCCATCGTTACTTTATTAATTAATATTTTAATCCTGAAAAGCATGTTTTAATTTATTTTAATTTGATTTTCGAATTTGATATATGTTTATTTTAGTCACTAAATTAATAATAGGTAAAATAGCATGTTTAGCCATTGTAATTTTAAATAATATATTACGAATTAGACCATTTAATTTTAATATGTTATAATTTAACCACTAATGTTAAATACTTCCATTTTATATTTTAGTACTATAGTTTTAATTTTATTTATTTTAGTCATTGTTTAGTTATATTTTAATTTTATATGTTTATTTTCAATATATTATTATTAGTAGTAGTATTATTTAGTCATATAAATATATATATAATAAGTTTTATTTATTTATTTATTTTATATATATATATTAATTAAAAATCCTATTTATAAATTTATTTTTATATAATTTACTTTTATAAACATATTTTAATATTTATTTATTTTTTAATATTAAGAAAATGGTTGTCTTAAAGCAACTAGAAGTCATTTTCTGATATTTTTAAATAAATAAATATCCTACTTTATAAATTGTATATATATATAATTTAATTATTTTTAGAGAATTTTTTATTAATATTTATTTATTTTTTAATATTAAGAAAATGAATGTCTTAAAGCAACTAGAAGTATTTTTCTGATATTTCTAAGTAAATAAATATCTTATTATATATATAATATATATATATATATATATATATATATATATATATATATATATATATTTGTAAAAGTTAATAATTTTTTCTTAAAATTATAGTAATAAATTTGAAATCACAAAATTTATGAATTAAATATATCTTTGAATTCTTAAATTTCTAATAATATAGACAATTTATAATTAATGAGTATCAATTTTGGGGGTTATAGGGGTTCTAATCCTTCCTTAAACGTAATCGACCACGAATCCTTTTTTTACTAAAATTTTTAGTTATACGTAGATCAGTTTATCTTTTAAATTATGTTTTCTTAAAAACTATTTTAAAAGATTGTTTTTAGGTATTTGACCTACCTAACCCAAAAAGGTCAATGGCGACTCCCAAAATATTTTTTTAAACCAAAATCATTTATTTATTCATTTTTATTTTTCCCGCCAAGTAAAAATTCGTACCCGGGCAAAAATCGGTTACGACATAGAGCATTGAAGAGATTTAAGGATAATATTTTCTTTAAAATAAATTACCTCAGGATAAGGAAGCTCAGAGACATTCTTAACAATTTTCTGTAGTTTAACTTTATCAAACTTTTCAATATAACTGCACAAGAAATATATTTACAAACAACCACAAATTTAACATTACTAGAAATGGTCACACAAAAAATAGAAGTATGTAAAAAGATTGTAAGCAACACCGACACTTTAACTGCAGCATCGCCTCTACGACGGACATCATCAACTATTGGTTGGATCTGAGAAGCATAGCATATATAAACATTTAAAGCCAGCAGGGGTCGAATAGAGATATGTATAAAAAAAGAACAAAAGAAGGGACAGACCCACCACACCGAATATGGAAGAAAAATCTATCCGAGGACGAGCCTTCAAGCTTTCTACCTCAGCATGACTAAGTTCTGATAACTTATAAGACTTCATTGCACACCTTATTCTCTTACAAGCCAATCCTGTAATAGAGATAGATAGAAAAATATGCATGTTTCTCAAAGTTTCCTAAACTGGGTCCACGCGCTAGTAAAAAAGTACTCTCTTTTTATCGAGCACAAAGCAAAAACTATTTTATGGTAGATTAGATTCAAACATAGCTCTTGAGTCATAGAAACTAATGAGGAAAATGCTCGGATGCAATGAACTAACCAGAGCATTGGAAAATCAAACAGCGATCATTTTCATATATAAAATAAGAAATTACAAAAAAATGAAGTACCTGTGACTGTAGCTGAAGGAAAAGAAAACTATGACAGACCAATGAAACTAGGAAAATGGGGAGAGACTGTTAGAATGTTAGAGTGTGGATGTATGTATGAGAGTGTGGATGTATGTATGAGAGTGTGATTGTATGTGTGCGTAAGAGTTAGTTTCAGGTTGTTAGGAAAGTTAGTTGCAAGTTGTTAAAACAGCAAAGCAATTACAGCCAGCTCAGCAACACAATTGTGCATATAACAATAGCAATGCAGTGTAAATGAAGTGAACATTTTCTAGTTGAATTTCTTCAAGTGTGTTTTCAACATGGTATCTTTCACCAAACGATTCGGGTGGTTTCTTTGTGCTTTCGCTGCTTAAAGAAAAAGAAGGAAGATTTCAGTCATGAACACTGATCGGCTATCCTCAGTGGAGAATACGTTGAGGAATGCAAAGACATTCTCCAATAAAAAGGTTAATGTCATACTTGATGAAGGAAATTTTTTACTATGGAAGCAACAAGTGTTACTCATTGTCCTTAGCCATAGATTGGAGATGCTACTTACCGGCTTGATGATTGTTCCATCACAGACAGTACTCAACGAATCTGGTGAAAATATATCGAATGAGCAATATGAGGAATTCATTGCACAGGACAGTGCTTTGGCATCCTGGCTATTGTCAATAATAAGTCCACAATTGCTACCTCAATTTGTGGGTGATGAAACGGCTTCTGCAGTATGGAGCACGGTTCTTCAGTTCTTCTCTAATAGATCTACGACTGCTGTTATTAGTCTGCATTACAAACTCCAGTCGCTTAAAAAAGGTGATGAATCTATGAGAGTGTATCTGACTAGAGTTAAAGAACTGTGCATTGCTCTAGCATCGCGTGGCAGTGTTGTGTCTCAAGCAGTACAAGTTGCCAGCGTTTTGAAGGGATTGCCTCGCGAGTACCAGCCTTTTGTAGCTGTCATAACCACAATATGAGAGTCAGTGTCTTTGGATGCTTTCTACACAATATTGTTGGATGCTGAGACTCAACTAGCTGGGTTCTGTGATCCACTTGATTCACTGCCTATGAGTGCACATGTTGCTCAAGGAAAAATGATGGGTAAAGAAGCAGATCAGTCTGAGCGATCAGTTACCTTTCGTCAAACGTACTCGCGTGGTAGATCAACTGGTAGAGGACGAGGTAGGTCTCGGATGCAATGTCAATTATATGGAAAGAATGGCCATTTGGTGGATCGATGTTGGCATCGATTTGATGAGGATTTTCCTGGAGTTACAGCTAATAGCAGTTCATACTCAAAGAATGAGTCAAGCACGGCATACTATGCTGCTACAAAGATGTTGGTTGTGAGTGTGGTGTTAGTCAGAAATCAAGTTGTCATAAGTCAACTGTAGCTCGTGAGCACTGAATTGTGGACTCGGGTGCCACACATCATGTCACTTCTGATGGTATGAACATTTCTCAACCTGTGGATTTCAATAATCCAGGTAAATTAATTGTTGGTGATGGTGTTGCATTAGATGTTAAGTATATTGGACAATCTCCCTTACATACATATTCTCGTGTATTGCTTTTAACCGATTTGTTGCATGTGCCAAGAATAACCAAGAATTTAATCTCGGTGTCAAAGCTTGCTAGGGATAACAATATTTTCTTTGAATTCCATGCACATGAGTGATGCGTTCGTGATAAAAAGGCTGGTGCAATCTTGCTTAGAGGGAAAGAAGATGGCGGGTTGTACTCCTTTGTTGTGGATTCATCACTTGGAGGTAGTTCTAAGCCACCAGTTTATACAACACAATTATCTGCTTCTGTGTATGAGTTGTGGCATCAGCGTTTGGGTCATCCCTCGCATGATAGCCTAGTAAAAATTTGTAAGGAATTGAATGTAAGTCTGCCTTCAAGTATCAATAAGACATGTGTTGCCTGTCATTTAGGAAAGAGTCACAAATTACCTTTCCACGCATCTACTACCGTGTATGATACTCCCTTTCAGTTGGTATTCACATATCTTTGGGGACCTTCACACATTGTCTCGAATGGTTATAAATATTATGTAACATTTGTTGATGCATGCACCAGACATTCATGGTTGTATTTACTAAAAGATAAGGCTCAAGCAGTCAGTGCGTTTAAAATGTTTTAGCAAATGGTTAAGGTTCAGTTTAACTTACCTATAAAGGCTGTGCAAAGTGATTGGGGGGTCAGCATCGCAGGCTTTCAAATCACTTATTGAGTGAGGGCATCACACACAGGCTGACATGTCCACATACCTCCGAGCAGAATGTAGTGGTCGAACGCAAGCATCACCATGTTATTGAATTAGCTCTCGTCCTACTTGCTCAAGCATCAACGCCTGTCAAATTTTGGGCATATGTTGTGGTTACAGCAGTTTACCTAATAAACAGGCTTCCTACGAGAGTTTTGCAAGGCGTCTCACCATTTGAGAAATTGTTCCACATGAAACCTGATTATGGTCAATTGAAGGTATTCGGGTGTCTTTGTTTTCCTCATTTGAGACCATATTTACAACATAAGTTGGATTTTAGGTCCAAGCCTTGCACATTTTTAGGTTACAGTATGCAACATAAGGGGTTTCAATGTCTTGCTGAGGATGGTAGAATCTATATCACAAGACGTGTGGTGTTTGATGAAATGCGGTTTCCATTTGCAGAAAATATTAGTCATGAGACTACTGCATCAAATATAAGGAGCTGTTATAGATCGTTACAAGTAGTAACTGATGTTAGCAAACTGATCAATGGCAGAAGTACTGTTGAATCAAGTCATGACTATGAGGCCAGTACCAGTGGAGATTCGAATAATGCACCTGGTGCTAATTCCAGTTATGTAATGGCACAAGATGTAGGTGTTGTACAAGGTGTCGAGCATCAAGTACCAAGTGAAGTCTCATATTCTGACCAATATGCTGGTGATGCAGGTCAAAATGAGACTACTAGTACTCATGATAATGATCAAGGGGTGAATCAGTTGTGTACGTCTGCAGAAAATGCTTGTAATGTAGATAGTGCTCGAGTAAATACACATCCAATGATGACAAGAAGTAAGTGTGGTATAGTGAAACCAAAAGCTTATACGAGTGTTGTTGTTGATGAAGTTACAGGTAATATTTATGAAGCACTCAAGACTTCTAGCTGGAAATAAGCTGTTCAAGCAGAAGTTCATGCTTTACAAAGAAACAAGACTTGGTCACTTGTCAAGTTACCTACAGGACGTGAGGTTGTTGGCTGTAGGTGGCTGTTTAGAATAAAAAAAGAAGGCTGATGGGTCTATTGAGAGACACAAGGCCCGCCTTGTTGCTAAAGGTTATTCACAAGTACCATGTTATGATTTTAAGGAAACATATAGTTATGTTGTCAAGTTTCCAACATTGAATGCAGTTCTGTCAATTGTAGTTGCAAAGGGGCGGCCCTTAAGGCAAATTGACGTGAATAATGTTTTTTTAAACGGTGATCTGACCGAGGAAGTGTTTATGCAACAGCCACCTGGTTTCGAGGAGTATGCAGCTGATGGCAGCCTTCTTGTGTGCAAACTTCATAAAGCATTGTATGGTTTGAGGCGAGCACCAAGAAACTGGCACGACAAGCTTAAAGCCAGTTTTATTCGGCTAGGCTTTAGTGCGTCTCAGGCTGATGTATCACTGTTTGTTAGGAATGATGAAGGTTGTTATACATATGTTCTTGTTTACGTTGATGATATCATACTAACAAGTGCCTCTTCGGGTGTTCTTAATGATGTAATTCAAGCGTTGAATCAGGAGTTTTCCTTGAAGGATCTAGGAGAATTGTCCTACTTCTTGGGCATTGAAGTCAAACGCAACAAGAAGTCCTTGGTGTTGTCTCAAAAGAAATACATACTTGAGTTGTTGGAAAGGACAGACTTATTGCATGCCACTCCCACTGCCACCCCGATGGTAGGGTCTCCAAAATTGACTCTGGATGCTAGAGAGCTTTTAACAGATGCACGCGAATATCGCAGCATCGTTGGTGCTCTGTTGTATGCGTGTCATACGTGACTCGATATTGCATTTAGTGTCAATAAAGTTGCTCAGTATATGAATGCTCCACGAGAATTTCATTTGGCTGCAGTAAAGAGGATACTTCGATACCTAGCTGGAACATTAAACTATGGTCTTACGTTTTCATGTGCTGGCAAGTCACTTGAAATTGTTGCATTTGCTGATGCTGATTGGGGAGGCAGCCTTGATGACAAAAGGTCGGTGTCTGGCCATATAGTCTTTCTCAGTGCATGTCCTGTAGTCTGGTGCTCAAGGAAACAGAAAACAGTCTCCAGGTCTACAATGGAAGCTGAATATCGAAGCGTTGTTGAGGCATGAGATGAAGTTACATGGATGAGGTCGTTATTAGGTGAGCTTGGAATAGAAACTCGTGATACACCTGTCATTTGGTGTGATAATATGAGTGATGTTGCTTTAAGTACGAATCCAGTGTATCATGCACAGTCAAAGCATGTTGATATGGATGTGCATTTTATCCGTGAGAAGGTTGCAGCTAAACAATTGCAGGTAAACTATGTTCTAGCTTGTCATCAGGTGGCAGATGGTCTTACAAAGTCATTGACAAAGGGAGAATTTGAAGTATTTCGAGATCAATTGCGTGTACTGCCTTGTCAATAAAGCAGAAGGAGTTGAAGGAGCGGGGAGAATGTTAGAATGTTAGAGTGTGGATATATGTATGAGAGTGTGATTGTATGTGTGCGTAAGAGTTAGTTTCAGGTTGTTAGGAAAGTTAGTTGCAGGCTGTTAAAACTGTAAAGCAGTTACAGCCAGCTCAGTAACACAATTGTGTATATAACAGTAGCAAATGCAGTGTAAATGAAGTGAACGTTTTCTAGTTGAATTTCTACAAGTGTGTTTTCAACAGAGACCAATGGTTTAAAAGAAAGATTGGTGGGTGGGTTAAATCGTAGAAGCTGAGAATCCATAACCAACTACCTTCAACTCAAATAAGAAAAGGTTGTTCTAAACTACACATTCATAAGATAAAACAATGCTGAATTGCGAGTTGAATGAAAGCCATTAAACAATAAATATAGTTTTGGGTATAATTGAACGGATACAAAAGAGATGGAGAGAGTTTTACCTGGCAATTAATAGAACTGGAAAAAAAAGAAATTTTGAGACCAAAACAGGATTTTGGCGCAGGAGCAGACATAATACCGCTACCCGTAAAAGCTTAAATGTCAAAAGCTTGATGATTTCTTCGTTCGATCCGTTATGTGTGTTTCAGTAAGACCTTTATTTTAACATCATTGAGATTTGAGACATTTTGGCTGCCTATAATTGGTTTTTTTTGGGAATAAGGTTATTAAAATAATAGTGGTGGTATTTAAGGAATTTAAAGAAATTAAAAAAAATAAATGTATTTTTTAAAAATATATACACTTAATGTGATTTTTAAATTTTAAAAAGTAATATCTTGATTAATGAAATCAAATATTAACGATTTCAATATTAATATAGTCTGCGTTATTAAGTTGACAGTCTACAATAGATGATCGTATAAAAATGATTAAATTAATTTTTTAATCTCGTTCAAAGATCAAATTAATTTCTTTTAAAAAGTTTGATCACTTATTTAATTTTTAAAAATATTATTTATTTTTAAAAAAATCAAATCTTTGTCTGATGCCGAACAAATATTAAGTGTAAATTATATAAGAACTTATTATACGATATACAATAATTTATGAATAATTTTTAGAATTATCTAAAATATGGTTAGATACATCTATTAATATTTTAATTATTGAGATAATTTTTATTAATATTTAAATATTAGTCTAACCCAAATATTCAATTCTGCCGCCATCCATCTTCTCTCTCCGGCCACCGTGCGCTAACAGTTTCTAATGCTAGTTGCACTACCAATTGTCTTGCTCCTCTTGCCAAGGTCTAATTGCATCCTCGGATGTCAGGCTTTATTAGTGTTTGTAAACTAGGCTTTTTAATCCAAAATATGATTTCCATTTTTTCCTATAAACGGCAAACAGTCACTTGGTAGGTCACTGTGCTTTATCTTCAGGGAATGTTCATTTCTATGGAAAATATCATTTTAGAATGTGTTTGGTTTATAAAATATAAGAGTATCATTTTGTTTAGTTTGTTTAATATGAATATAAAATTACAGTGTTTGATTTTAATGATATATGTTTTTAACAAGTTAAATTTAATATTAAATTATAAATATTTGGATGAAACTTCATAAAAATATTTTTATTGTTACACTATTCAAATTTAAAGAAAATTATATTTAATATATAATTAATATAATTAATGTATTAGACTTATATTTTTAAATAATTTTTATAAGAATCATATTTATTTATAAAAAATATGATATAATATAAAAAAAATATTATGGTTTCAAATGGACAAATATATTATTTTTAATATATAAGTTCTACTTTTTAATAATTCAAAATTAAATATTATTTTAAACAAATACATTTTTATAGTAATACCATTTTCAACTCATAAAAATATAAGATGATTAATATACAAATATTAAAAATATAAAATAATTTTAATTACTCAAATTTATAAGAATTGAGAATGATTCATATGGAAAGAATTCATTATTTTAAAATATTTGTATCTAAAGAAGTAGGAATTGTTCATTACCACTTGAAAACTAAAAAAAAACTGGCAATTTCCGCGAAAGAACAGTCCACCTAAAACTATTTACTGAAGTCTGTTTTCTTAATGCTTGGCTTAAAGACAAATAGTTTACCATGGAAGTGGCTTAGGTGAAGATTCAAAGGACGCAAATCTGGGCTTAGCCAAACCATATCCAATGATGGGTGACGAGGAAGCGGTGGATATACTCCATGGTTTTCAGAATCCGATCGGTTAAAAAACCGGCCATGCTATCGATTTACTGGTCCGGTCGAATCGGTCCGACCGGTCGGAAGAACCGAACGACGTCATAATTATTTAAAAAATTAAATAAAAATACCAAAAATATTTAATAAAAAATATTTTTTTATATCACAAGTCATATTCAAAGCAAGTCATAACATATATAAATTAAAAACCATAAAATCAAGTGAAACAAAATGATTCAAATTAACTACAACATAATATTTAAGGTAAAACATATTAAATAATAAATATAATTATATAACTATAATTAAAAAATAAATTTGGGGCTAAAAAAATCATAACAAAATGATTGTTTGTTTAATTTTTTTTTTTTTAAAAACATCTAACATGGCTAAGAAACATAGAAGAGCATCCTAAAAGTCTAAAGAGTAAAAATATGAGAACAAAACAATCTCACATTGCTAAGAAACATAGAAGAGCATCGCAACTAACTTCTATAAATAATAGAGGTACTTTGACAATCAAAATCATGGAGCATTTTGGTGAGCATTGAGTAAATTATTTTTTCACTTCAATCAAGCTCGAATTTTAGGCTTCAATTGAGCTTCTAAATTTTTTTTAGTACAAGCCTTTTTGAGTTCAAGTTTCAATATTATATTTCGAGTTCGAGTTGAACTTGATAATTTTTAACTTGTGAGTTTGAGTGGAGTTGAGCTTACTTTTAAAGTTTTCAAGTTCGAGTTGAGCTCAGCAATACTCGAGTTTGACTTGGCTCGTTTAACAAACGACGTTTGATTTAATTTTTTTTTAAACAAAATTTTCGATTTTTTCCGATTTTCAGCCGGTCCGGTTCGAACGGTTCAACGGTGGACTAGGCAACGGTTCCCGGTTGAACTGGCCGGTCCGGTCCGGTTTTCAAAACAGAGATATACTATAATGAGCCTATTTATGATCCAATGGAAGGAAGGGCAGGTGAAACAATCGTTCAATTAAAATTTTAAATTATCATATTTTTATTGATGATTTATTTTTGGCTTTTATAATTTTAGAAGTTCATTATTTTTTAAAATTTTAAAATTTATTATTATTATTATCCTATCATAAAATTTTACGTTTATCCTTCAATTGATGTGATATTATCTAAATATGTACTTTGGTAATTTATAATATAAATCTATCTTTGAAAAATTAAGAGGAACATGAATCTTACCCTCTTAATTTTATAAATTCAGTTTAATTAAGTTATGATGATTTCGAATTCATTAAGTAGTTTTAACGATAAAAGAAAATAGCAAAGGCTTCCTAAATTCGAGTAACAAAATTATGTAACTAATAATAAAAATAAAAATAAAAGTAAACTAAACTAAAATTAAAAGATCTAAATATATATTTATTCATACATAACATAGTTGAGACTTGAGAGCGATGCCTCGTTTACATTAATTTATAATAAACTCATCATCAATAGTTAATTGTTAAGGTACATATCTATCTATCTATATATATATATATTGACCTTGCTTAATGTAATATTGAACTTCAATTAATTTTTGTCGCATTAAATCACTTCAATATAGATTACATTTATTATTGTACGTTGAATATACAAAGAAATATTGAAGAATATTATTGAGATTATAAAAAAAATCGTACATATAAATACATGTAATCTAATTATTTAACATACAACAATTCATGCAATTATCCTAGTTAGCCACGTAATTGCCTAACAATTTTCAGTTGTACACAACCTTCTAGAAAACACTCCTAACTCCTAACCCCTAACCATTCCTTCATACTTTAATATTCTCTCTACTCCTTCAACAACCTTGACCTTCTCTCTAAACACATGAAAACATAATTTGGCCAGAGGCTTTGTAAATCTGATGTGAAGTTGGAATGTAATTGACCACCAAGTTGCCTTCTGTAATCTTCTCCCGAAATGAATGTATGTCCAGTTTGATATGCTTAGATCGAGTCGAGCATGAAAAAATGGGTTAACACATAGACATTGCACTCGTATTGTGGTTCCAATGACAAGTGAAGTCCTAAGAGTAAACCTCATGTCAACTAACGAGCCTGTAACCAAACAACCTCAGATGTCACATTAGCAATTCCCTGATACTGGACTTCAATTATAAAACTGGGAAACTAATTGTTGCTGCTTAGAGCTCCATGCGGCCAATTTTCCACTAAAGTAAACGCAAAACCCAGACAGACTATATGTCATCCATATTGATGGCCCAATCAACATCAGCAAATGTAATCAGCACAGATGGCTTAGACGAGGCTTCAAACACAAGCTTATAGTCCAACGTGCCACTTAGATAGCGAAAAATGTGCTTCACAACAGTCCGGTAACCACTCCAATAGCAGTTTCCAAGGAATGTGGGGTAAATGCCCCGTCGACGTTAATCTTGAGCTCTCCTATCACCGATTTTGTCCATTTTCTTGGCGATTCCTTGTTGAGAACCCGAACTTGAGAGTTTTGGGTAGCTTCCTTAAACTCACTTCCGAGGGTCCATGTGACATTGATCACTTCGTCGGCTGGTTGAACTACGTTTCCATGGCACCATTTGTTTCGCCTGTTTCATATATTCCAAAGTAAAAATGATAAAGCGAGCAAAGGCATCATTTTGGAAGCAACCTCTTCAAACCAAGCCTTACAAGGAGTAGGAAGTTCAATATTCGGCCCAATCCAGAAAGAAGCATCACCTCTTTTGTAAATGAGCAATCTTTAAAAGCATGAAGGGTAGTTTCGGTCCCTTGATTGCAAAATTGGCATGATCCATTTTCCAGACCCGCAACAGCAAGCTTGTGTCTAACAGAAGAGCATCATGACATGCCCGCCATCCAAAAACCTTAACCTTTGAAAGGGGTTAAGTTTTGAGATACACTTCCAAATAAGGCAGCGGTCACGCTCTCCCCTGGATTTCATGATAATCCAATTGTATCTCAATTTGGCCGAATAAATTTGGTGTTATGGTGTTCCAAATAAGCTGCTCGTCGAGCTGAGGTGTGATGAGCATGCTAAGAATAGCTTTTGAGTCATGTTCATGGAAGACTCTTTTAATCTTAATCCCATCCCATCTCGGTTGACCTTGGATCATGAACTCCCCACATCTGATGGGATCATCCATGCTATTAATATACCCACGTGAAAAGAATTAGTTTGAAGCCTCCCCATCCGTCCTTAAAGATACGAACACCACTATTGATTCCAACCCTCCAAAAAAGTTCTTATTGATAGCTTCTTTCGCTTTAAAGACAGTAGCCTAGGCAAAGGAAGGTTTATCCCTTAACTTTGCTTCAAGGAGATTGGACGATTATGACTAAGACATAAAAGGGTTCCAATCACACTCATGTTGTTAAGCATCATCGTCTCTCCGCATCTTGACTGAGCTTAGGTGATACAAGCATGGGTGTTGGAGCTGAATTGGCACCGACCATGTTTACCCTTTCAAGCAAATTGTAAACATACTTCTTCTGGTTAAATAAGCGACCCTTCACCGCATTTTACTTGAAGGCCAAGAAAGAAATCCAAGTCCCCTAAACCTCTCAAAGAGAACTTCTGCCCTATTGACTGCACGACCCCCTTGAACAACGTGGACTTGTTTATCTGTAAAAATTTCTCAATCTTGAAGTCATAAAACTCAGTTGTTGAAGCTCTATCGAAGGTTAAATTTTACGACGACAACTCAAAACCAACCTAGCTAATCACTACTATGCAACTCTTAGAAAGCAAAGAAAACACAAATATCTAAGCGACTGATACCATATTGAATATACAAAGAAAAATGAAGAATGTTATTGAAAATATAAAAATATCGTACATACAAAGGCAACTAATCTAGCTATTTAACATACAACTGTCCATGCAGTTACCTTAACTAACCACATAACCGGCTAACAACTTTCAATTATACACGACCTTCTAAAGAACACACTAACAATTCCTAACCACTTCTTCATACTATAATATGATAATAAATAACATACAATTATTATTTATAATACATGTCATGCCTATATTATTTATTAATTTTCACTTGGGTTATATATATTCTCATCACTTTATAATTGTCTGTTATCATAACTTAACAAAACAATTTATTTAATCAATCATGTTAGTATAGAAATAATATGATTTTATTACATATATATCATAATGAAACATCTGTAATCATGCATATCAACATATCTAATGACATAGATTAAGTATTGATGTATAATATGAAAATTCGATTATAACATGTCTATTTTATCTTAATTATATAAAATTGATTGTAATATTTAACATTATATTTTCATATGTTGTGATTTAAATAAATAATTGATTTATTAATTATAAAACAAACTATATATTTATTTAGTTGTCTTCAAGTTCCAAGGCTTCATCTTAACTAATCTGGATCGACTTGGGTTGCACACCTGATTTTGAGTGAGTGAGTCTTACGAGGATTTTTTTTGCATACATTACTCAAATATGAGACATTGCTTAAACGATATCAAGCGCTTACCACTTGAACCAACTCGTTGGTACAAACTATATATATATGTATGTATAAAAATAAAAGAAGATTGTGTTTTTTCTCATTATGTATAATATAATACTATTGCGATAATGTGTGTAATTGTATGATATTATAATATTTTTTATTTTAAATATGTTTAAAATATTATACATTTATAATAATTTCAATATATTAATAACTTCATTTCATATAAAAATCTATATTTATGTTCATAAAAGATGATAGTAATTTTTCTTAATTATAGTTATTTTAATATATCTAGATTTTATATTTGATTGATCAATTTTGAATAATTATATATATATATATAAGTAAATATAACGATAATATATATTTAAAATTGAAATTTTTATATTTAAAAATACTTTGAATATATATTATCAGTTGATTTATTGAAAATGTGTAAAAATTGAGCGGCTAACCATACTTGCGCCAAAATACACCCATCATTAACTGAGAACAAAATAATATTTGATTATTGTATGAATGCCCTAGTATCATAAATGATATAATTATAAATACACAAGACATTCAATTCCCTCATTGTTTCTTTGCTTCTTCCTTCCCTTTTGTTCTCTTTCTCTTTTCTTTCTTTGCTAACATGAGCAGCAAAGGTGGCGGCGGGATCGGTGGAGGTGTCGCTGAAGGGCCAAGTGCATCGATCCCCGAGAATTCAAAGAAAACGATCCAAATCATAAGGGAGATCACAGGGAAACAACACAGCGACGAAGAAATCTATGCAATCCTCAAAGAGTGCTCAATGGATCCCAATGAAACTGCCCAAAAGCTTCTTTATATGGGTAAAATAAATCAAGATTTGAATGTTTCTTTTTTGACTTCTTTATCTGTTCTGTTAGTGCTTTCGATGCCCTTTCAGGATTTCTCGTCTCTATATGTTTGCTGTGTTAATGATCTGTTTGTTTATGTATGGATTTTTGTGTTGAAAAGCATGTGATAGTTGGGATTTTCGAGAGGTGGTGTTTTCATGATCTCGTATGGTTTTGCTAATGCAAAAATGAATTGTGCATTGTTTGAGGTGTTGATTTCGTGTTTTGTGTTGGAACAGTGAAGAAAATTTTTATTTATAGAGGTGGGATTGGCTTGTTTTCGTAAATGGAAAGTGGTATATTGCTCCTGTTTCTTCGATGAGGGATGCCCTTTGTTTACTGGGAAATCCAGTCCTTAATAACCCATTCCTTTTGTTTTGATTTGTTATCAGCTATAGCAGTCTGCCTTTTATTAAATTTTTTAAGGTTTCAATAGTAATTTATAATTTTACCATCATAATAATTTAATTATCTTTTCAAAATAACAAATCAATATTCTAAAATTCAAAATTTTGATTCAATTTCTTATTGGTTCTATCGAAGGTAGCTTTCCGCATTCTAATTTGACACACTGAAAGCTTCTTGTCTTTTTCTTATCATTTTTGGATATTCTTATCTCATTGAGAGTATACTTTTGTCTTTGCTTGATTTTACTTTTCGAAAGTATAAACTTTTCCATTGTTTGGTTGGCAGATACATTTCATGATGTGAAAAGAAAGCGTGACAAGAAAAAGGAGGCAAGTGTTTTTTCCTTTCATCGGGTGAAAATATAACTTCCTGTCATTTCCTTTATCTTTCCGTCCAAGGTTAAAATTTTGGTTATCAATGATTTTATTGGTTTGATTCTAGACTGATCTACACGGTATTTCCTTGTTAACAACTATCCAATGGAAAATGTGAACTAAAATTGCTGAGCTGCAATCTGTCGTAGTACGACTTGCTACAATTAGTTTAGTTGATGCGTTTTCTTCTTTCTTTCTTTTTTTTTTTTTTTTTTGGTGGGGGGTTGGGGAATTTTGCTTTAGTTAGCTTGGTAAATTGTGAATTATAACTGAATTCTTCTTCCTGCAGACAGCTGGTACACAAGGACGAGGGGGCCAAAGCAGTCGAGGGAACTATTATTCATCATCTGGTAAAGGTATTAGTTCCTTTTACTTCTGTTTTATACATCACTTAATGAATTTAACATATTTTTCCATTTGTAATTTGTTAATTTGACAAGATTTGTTCTCTTAAGATGTTGGAGGAGGAAGGAATTCATTTTCTAGAAGGGAGAATGGGGTTAATCGTTCCGCAGATAGAGGTTCTATGCCTTCCCAGCATCTCAGAAAGTGAAAACTAATGCAACACCTCACATGACAAAGTAAATATGCATAATGACGTTATGTGTATCTAAGCATGACTTTTATGGCCATGTTAATTTGTTAATTCTAGAGAGTACTTTTATATCTTGTATAAAATCATTTCCTTCTTCCTCAGAACTCCGACTGCCATACCCAATGGCACTAGTAGTTTACCAAACGGGAGCTGCAGTCATGGACGTGGACCCCAATTATCCGTTGATGGTATGTTTAGTGAAACTAAAGGTGGCTTACCTGTAAACAAAACAACTACTCTTTCAGAGCAAACAGTTGTCAGAGAACCTCCTGCCTCCTTTCCTGTTAAGTCCTCTAGCTCTGTGATCAAAGGTCAGGAGAAGTCTGCATCAAATTTGAACGCCCATCAACTTCTACCACTTCACCAACTCTGCCTGTCGTCAATTCATCTGCTTTTGAACCTGGAATGACATCAACTGTCTCACAGCATGCTGGTGCTGTGGATACAACAAAATGTGAAGTTGAAAGCCAACAGGAAGCTACTGAATCAAACCATATTCAAGTAAACAAACTTGCTCCCTGTGATATTGACGTATCTAAGACTGAGAAAATGGTGACTGGGGTTCCATTCTCAATGAATGGACAGGAGGAACCCAGAAAATCAAAGGTTGCTGAACAGGTTAAGCAGTCTAAGCCCGTAGAGCAAGGTATTATTTCTTCTTTATGTTCCGTGGTACCATAAAATTTAGTGGGCTATAGTAGTTCATGTTGTCTTTGTTTAGGTTTTTGGGTCTTTCCTGTTTATCTCCTTTTAATGTACAATATTGCCTTTTATAAGTACTTTCATGGGGGGCTTCTGTATTTATTATTTTCTCTTTGACAGGGGGTGGTAGTATTGACTTTTATGGCATTGCTTTTATGTTTCCCCGCCAATAAGATTCCATTTGAAAAGTTTGTGCACCCCTTTGCAATTTTCTTGATATTGCTAGTGGTCTCTGCTCTCTAGGTCTTGTACCTGTCATACTTCAAACTGCCATTCTAATTGTTTTCTTTCATTTAACAAATACAAATAAAAAAAATTCTATGCAATGATGTTGCTAATTATTCTTATTGTTTATTGCTCTCCCTGCTTTAGAAGCATCCCTTACCTAGATATGCACATAATATTGTCTTGCTGTGCTTTTTGGTATTCTGTTTTTAATTGTCTATTGTCTTTGCTCTTGTTTTGAAACAGTGGTCATATCTGAGGTTGCAACTGTCACTGGTAAAGCCAGTTCACAATTGCTTGCTGATTCAAACATCTGTAATGGTCAACATGTTACTTTCCAATCCACTTCCAAGTTTCTGAAGCATTAAAAAATGGCTTAACTTTTGGAAGCTTTGATGCTAGTTTTGGACAAGTATTGAAAACACTAGTGTCACTAATTTGGAGATTAGCTCTGCAAGGCCTGCTGAAACCTCTCAGGGTGTTGACGATACTTCTGGAGAGCCTGCTTCTAGGTTGGTGGATATTAGTTTATACATTTGTTTGATTATATATATGTTCACATATAATTTTCTGGATCAGGGGTAGGAGGAGAGGTTGTCTGAGGTTTGAACCTAGGACTTGGTGTCAACGAGGACTTAAGCAATGTAGGTCATTGTCACTACACCATTGGCTTAGTTGACAAAATTATATTTTTCTGGTGCAATGTTATTTAGGCGTGCAGCTGGCTAGTGGTTGCTGTGCCTTAGTGCCAGAGGTCAAGCTTGTTAGCCAAGGGAAGAAACCGGCCTAGACTGTGTCTACATTTGTTTATGCCTGTTAGCCAAGGAAAGAAATCAGCTTAGGTTTTATCGGCGCTGGTTTTTATTTTCTTTCCTTATGCCAGAATGTTATAGAATGTTTTTTTCATCCCTAAAATTGATTTTGAGGCATTGGTGGTTCCTGTTGTTTTGTCATTCCACTGTTCTAAATCAAGAGAAAATATCTGTTCAATCCTCTGGTGGATTACCAAGGAGAATCATGTTTGGATAATATATGTAGTTATAAATAACCTGATTTGCTATTGATACACACACACATGAGATGCTAGAATATGGGATCTTTAACAGTATTCTGAGTCATCTATTTTGTTTCTTAATCTTTAAATCTTATTGAGTCTTTATGATTTCTCCACAGCCAAGGTATATTACCAGCTATGGAAGGGGACAACACTGAACAGCAAAAAGCTCCTCCTGAGTTTGAGAAAGTGCCTGAATCAGATTGTAATGTTCCATCTGATGCTGACTTGAATCTTGACCAGTCCAATCAAGAAATGCATCTGCACCCGGAGAGTAATAAAAGCATCATTCCAAACGTCCCAAGCTATGGTCTAAGTTTCATGCCAGCATCAGCAACTCACCCTGCACAATTTGATGGACCTGATGCAAGGATCCATGATGTTTCTCATCTGACAAATCTCATTGTAAGTCATATGTGCTTGATTTAATTTGTTACCCCCGTGCATCTCTCGGTTGGTTATAATTAAAAAAGGTTTTATTGGTAAGTGGCCTTTGTACTTCTCGTATTTGGTTCAGTATCTACTTTAGTCTTATAGTCCATGGTGCTTTAGGAATATGGAATACGACAAGAAGAATCAGCAATCATATGTCCCTGCAAACTTCAGATGATAGTCTGTTTTTCCTTTTTTTCATTTGAAATCAAATCACAGGATGTTATACGATTATAATTACATGCTTCTTACACTTGATTTGTCAAATTTGTAGAGTGGTAATTCTCCAGCTCCATCTGGCAGTTCAACTCCACCTATTCAGAACTCTGTTGCTGCCGCACCACAAGCCGTTCATCTTTTTCGGCAGCCATTTCCACCTAATTACTTCCCTTATCCCCACTATCTTTCACCTTTTATATGCATCCTATGCATCAGTTTCTAAGCCCCACTGGACTTCCTCAGCAACCTTCAACCGGCGTATACATGCCTCCTGGAGCAACTCGACCTGGGGTCAAATTCCCTCTACCACAGCTCAAGCCTGGAACTAATGCAGGAAATCCTGCTCACCTTGCAATTCCATCCGGTTATGGTCCATTGGCTTCTCCTATTGGTTTCAATACCTGTTACATCAGTGACTTCCGGAAGCTCTAGCAGCAAGGAGGATATTGCAGCATTACAGTTGAAGGAAAATCATATAACACCACTGGACCACAGGTTGGTTTTGCCATCCTTTTCCTTCTATATTTCTTCCCAACCTTATTTCCATCTAATCTGTTTTACCATGATGGATTATATGCATTGTATAAATGGGGTTAATTTTAAGCGATGCTTTGTTTTTTCTTGGCAGAATGAAGGTTCAGCTCTTTGGATGCCTGCACCAGGTCAAGATTTATCCAACTTGCAGGTTAATTCATTATACAACCTTTCCCTTCACAGCCAACAGCTTCCTTTTCTCCTTCACAAGCTAGTCATGGTGCCTTTGCGGGACTCTATCATTCGCCACCACAAACAGTGGCTCCTCCATCCAACAGTAACACCTACTACAGCAGTCTCAACCCATGGCAGCAGCTGTGGGAACTGTAGGTCCCCCGGCGGGTCCTTATCAGCAGCCTCAACTTGCACAGGTAAACTGGAAAACTAATTACTGAACCATTAAAAAATTTACGATGATGCTGTCTAGAAGAAATAGATTGGGGAAATCTGTGGAAGGTGAAACACTGGCCTGGCCTACTCGTGGAATGTATATATCAAAGGCATCTCAGACATATATTAGAGTTGATTTGTGGTGGGGAAAATACGTTTGTTGCTGACATTGTTTCACCTTTCCGTCCCTGCCATTTCTGTTAGTCTTGTTGTTCTGGGTAGCAAACCTTTTGTTTGTTGTTCAATTGGAACTCATCATTCTCAGAAGAGAACTCTATAGGAATTTGATGGTCAATTAGATTAGGTGGGATTTTGCCAAATTTTTATTGTTTTTCTCTTGATAATGTCTCACCTCTGTACTAAATTTGATTTGAATAGCAAGGAATTGATATGATATAAAGCTGTAATTGGTATAGTATGAGATTCTTCTATTTCTGTTTAATTGAAACCACAAGCTACCTTGTTTTTACTTTATTATTTTCCTGAAATTGATTATTTTGTTCTTGTACGACATCAAAGGTGTAACCGAGTCTAGTCGACTTTGAGCTCGATCAATTTCACTTTAAAACTCTAGATCGATTTCACTTTAAAACTCTAGATTACTTTGAGATAAACCTTTCTGTCAACGAAATCAGCATATTTTAGGGCCGTGAACTGAAGCTCAACTTAACCTTTAATGAATATGCAAATGAATGGTTATCAACTTTGTTCTGGCGAGTTAAATTGACCAAAAAAATTATATGAATCGGATGTTGAAAACGAAAGATTCCTGAATGGTGGCAGCAGTAAGGGTCACAGTCGTAATTATTGTTTCACAAACAATATAATGCATACAAACCTGTGTCTATATTCAAGTTCTAAACCCGAATATGAATACAACTAAGAACAAAATCACCTTCAGTCGAAAGAACTGATTACAGTGACACTATAGGTTCAACTGTGTAGCAGTTGTTGCTCCAGGTATTTGTTTTCCTTTGCAATGGCATCAAGGTCGGCTTGTAGCTGGTCTGCATTTAAGCTTTGGGAAGACATGGCTGCGAGTTTCGTTTCAAGATCAGTTGTTCTCTTCGTATTCTATCGGTTGCAAGGATTTTCTCAGAGATTTGCTCAAAGCTATCATGGATGCTGATGAGCAGTTTATAAACCTGTTGCCGGTCTGCATCTTTCTTTGATACCCTGCACGTACACAGCTCTTTGTAAGGAAAAGTTTAATTCAGCTCCATTTAATACATCGCCTATAATAAAGCTGCAAAGTCGGAAATGGAAGGCTCAAAGAGCGCTGAAGTAGCAGTCGGAACATACCGGAAGACAATTTCATCCAAGACAGCATAGGTGCGATGAAGGCTCTCCTGAATGGAATTGCTTTCTAACTGGAGCACCCTAGTTTCTCTTAATATGTGTTCTATGTCAGAGTCGAGTTTGCCACTATTTTTTGTGATCTCCTTTATTCGCTCAATATAGGACCTCCGAGATGCCACCTCGGGCTGCCTCTTGAGATCAGCAGCAAGTTTCAAGCATTCCTCCTCCCTATAAAGTTACCAAGAAACACAGTCTTAATCAAGGTGAAATAATTTAGGGAATGTACACAGCCAAGTGTAAAGATTTTTGCTAGAAAATTATGTTGCTTGCACTTGAGTGCAAGTGCCGGATACAGGTATGCCTTTGAGACAGGTACAGTCAGACAATCACACCTGAATCTAAGGAACATAGGTAGACTCTACAACAGAAAATGGCATGGATTATATACCATTTCATCTTCCAGACAAAATTAAAGATGAAAAATTCTTTTGAGGTATTATTTTATTTTAATAATAATGTGCAAAAGATACTAGACTTTAGTTCCGATAACATACCTTTTTCTAATTTCAAATGAGGTGAACTGAATTTCTAGCTCGATTTCTCTCAACTTTTGGAGTTTCTCTAGAGCCTCTGGATTGTTTACATACAAACATTCCTCGAGGTTTCTTTTCTTCTCTTCTATAGGTTTTCGGAAAGCATCCCTTCAAAGGAAAAAATGGCCAAGTTAAAGTTGACACTGATGCTAGGAAGCTACCGAAAGACCCAACTCTTCTGATTGCATATAGGCAATCTTTCTTAATAATAACTAGTACAAATTCTTCATGCACAACCGAAATGCTGTCTGTGGAAAGCACGGAAAGATTATTATAAACAGTTATCATACCACTGTGACTCTAGTTCCAGAATATTATGTTTTTTGGCATTGATCTGCTTATTAAGTTGTTCCAAGCAAAAATCCATAGGGTGGCTTTCATCAAATGCCATATCTGCTTCCACCTTCCAAAATCCAAGCTCTTCCTCAAGATGCTGCATTTGTAAATTGTTTGCTTTCAGTTCCTCTAACAATTTTTCTTGAGATAGCAAGTTTTCTGCTTCATACGGTATCTGGTAAAACAATGGAGAACATTTTTATTGTTCTGAATCCTGTTAAGAAGCTATAGAGTTTACACTTAAAGCTCGAGCTTGAATTTATATGAAATCAAACTAATCGAATCTTACTTGATTAAGCTCATTTACATGGTAGAAAAATGATTAAACTTGATTTTTTGTGCTTGAATTGATATTTTTCAATACCAAGTAATAACGAAAAATCTTGATTAGTCACACGATATACTAAAGTCAAGCATTAGGATAACCCAAACTGAGCTTGCTCAATAGCTTAAGTTACTCAAACTTGAGCTCAGCATGACAATAACACAGCCAAATTCAACATTTTAGTCGAATCCAAGTAGCTTGAGCAAAGGTGTATTCCTCACATCACTTGTCAAATGTCAATCCCAATTTAAGGCCACTTAATTTTCCTTGGACACTAACACTGCTGTTATAAACTAGAAAAAAAAGAACCTCATTGAAAGCCAGTATTTAGTTTAGTCAAATAAATGTTCCTTGGAGTTCATCACTTTGGGAGAAATTGAAACATGTTCATCATCTTTGTGATCTGCAATTTCTTCATTTCCAGACACACCGCTTGATTCCACAACTTCAGCATTTGAATCACTAAATAGCTCATTCTGTGGTATATCACGCACCCCAAGGGGGTCATGGACGACTGCTGCATCACTGGTCTTGATCTCGGATGATTCTGACAATTCATCTACTCTAAGATCTTGCAAGATAGCTTCAACCTCTTCCTTATCCAGATTCTGAGTAAAAGACTCCGAAACTTTCTCTAGGTTATCTTCCTTTAATTTCTGTCTCAAATCAGCCTTTCATTTCCCATAAACTTTTACAGCTTCAGATGAACCGGAAAGCTTCTCCACCAAAAATCTTACCAGCTTATATAACTCCTCTTCTGATGGATATAAGAACTGCCGTAAGCAATACATATAATTTGTTCTAAGCATAATTTCATAACAATAATAATAACCAAAATCAAAGAAAACTCATGGCAACTTCTAAAAAAAATATTGAATCATAGTGCACGACATAGAGCTACAAATCCGCATTTAACCAGTCCTCAGATTCACCTGTTTCTAAATTTTCTTTCTATAAAAGAAAAACAATCAGATTTCTCTACAGAAAAATTCCTTTCCTAAGGGCGAAATTCAGTTTCACAAATCAATAAATCCATAAAATTAACATGTTTCGTCAAAATGCACCACAACCAAAAAGAAATCATCACTGTAAAATCCAAAATATAATAAAGTTACCAATAAAACAGCAGAATTCCATTTAAATTCATCTCCATAGTTCACACGACGATCCTTAATTAAAAAAAAACTGAGAAAAACACAGTACCTTGTGATAGCTCATGTCACCAACATAACCCAGATTCTTAAAAGCCAGTGAGATGTCGGAACAGATCTTGAACTTGTCAGCCATGGAGACATAATCTTCAACTGAATCGGTAAATGACACGTCGTTTTGATCGTCGTCTTCGTTGTTTCCGATGATGTTAAGTGATTGGCAGCAGACGGAAATCAACGTTTTCGGAGTTAAATCTCTAATGCCGAAACGTTCCCGGGATCGAAACACCGAAAGTGCTCAAGGATTTTAGCAGAATCCCTTGAGACTCTTCCATTGTTCTTTTGGAAATTTAAGGCCGGTTTTGCTCCTTCTCTATCCCCGAAATGAATCCTCATCTTCGCCCTGCCCTATTATCCGTCGGGTTTTTTTTATCGGATAACACGTGGGGAATTTTTTTATCCCGTCCCCGATCCCGAGAACCCGATCTGATCCCGAAAAAAAAATCGAGCAACCGTAGTTTTCATAAAAAATATCATAAAAAAATTAAAAAATTAGTCTATATGGTTTATAATTCAAACAATCACAAATTCAAACTCAATTCTAAATAATTGTCTAAACTCCAAAATAAAACACATACATAATTAAATACAAATTTGTTCCGATATTCAAATCATACAACGAAGATGCATACGTAATATTAGGTCAAATAAAATTATCCAAAATCATCGTGTCACTCTTGTCACTTTCTTTTGTAATTCCTTACATTAAGAAATTTATCAAAAAAAATCAATCAAATTCCACTTTAATAATTATAAAAATATTGTTTAGGGTTTGTATTATATAATTAATATAAAAATATAAAATATTATATATATAATTAATATAAAAAATATAAAAAATATTATATATATATATATATATATATAATCGGGGCGGGACAGGGATACCTTGCCCCGAACCCGAACCTGAAAAATCTTCGAATTTTATCTTGATACCCGACCTGACCCGATATTATTCAAATCCGACCCGACTCGAATTTAACCGATTTCTCCGTCGGGTTCGGGTCGTTCTGCCATTCCTACGTGAAGGAAATACTAATTATACCTGTCGTTTTGATGGTGAAACACATACGGTACGGTGTCGTTTAGTTTGCCTCAATTTAGTCGGATCCACAGTTGAAAGTAAACAAATATTTACCCATAACCATTTGGTCTAGCTCCTTTAAATAAGATTAGAGCTTCAAATATATACGTGGACAATACTTTAAGAATAAATAATTAAGTTTTTGGAAGATACTCTAAATTTTAATGTTAAAAAAGTTTTAAATAAACTTAATATATTCTCAAATATTGGAAGTCTCATAAATTATGCGCAATGGTTTGTAGATGCCATAGTTCAAGCCAACTTATATCATCAAGCTCAGCATTCTATTTAGAAACCTTATTCGATCCTTTTCGTGAAACCAAAAATCCGGTCTTGGCATCGATACTGATAACTGATACCAATATTTTCTAGGACCAGGAGCAGACCAAGTGTAACAGAGTTAAACGAAATAAGAAGTGACGAGTCAAACAATTTCAGGAAAACAAACCATTTCCATATGCAATAGGAGATATAGGTTTAACTCACATCATCACATATTCTAAAAATGATATAAGCCATATCAAATCCGCTAGAAGAAATGCACACTACTTAAGAACAGTATTTTTGCTTCACGTCATCATGTATTTCAGCAGGAATTTCCTGTGGAAGTCATTCCTTATGGTATCATTAATGAAGCACTTTTGAGGCTTGTTGTCACCGCGTGCCTGGTTCTCGAAAACCACATCATCGTCCCACCTTGAACCAAACAGAGATCAGGAAAGAAGTAAGCTCATTTGCAATGTCAAGCTTTAGTTAAATAACACAGCCTCTTTGGCTTTTAGCTGTTCTTCTTGTTCTAGTTTTTCCTGCAGAAACACAAGGGATTTCTTTTGTTATTGATGAAATATTTTAGATGATACACTCTATGGCTGTAAAATCAAGAGGATAACTAACGGCATAGAAGCTCTAAAATTATAAGCAAGCAGTGAAACCGGGGAATAAAGTTTACTTGACGGAGTTTCTCTTCAGCCTTCTCCTTCCTTATTCGTTCCTGCTCAGCCATAAGAGCTCCTCCGTCATCCTCATCATCATCATCGTCATCGTCACTTAAGAGTTAAGACAAACAAAGATCTTTAAAAAGTGTAGAAAAACAGCAATATCAAGAAGTTACGAACAATAACAGGGACAATTCTATTACAGATTTCACACACAATGAAACTACAAGTTTTTTCAAATTAGTTTTTTGCCTACTTCAGAAAGACAGAAACCATGAAACTACATACAATATGTTACACCATGCCATCTAAACCATCCAAAAGACTTAAAGAATCCAATCATCGAAGAGACGAATTGTGCTAGCATAAAAAACAGAGATAGAGGTAGAAAGTAGAACCTATCGTCATCATCGTTGACTTCTACATCAGAATCATCAGCCTCAACACTGCGTGGAACAATTCGATTTTCAGTCTCCCTTTTTGCCCCTACAAGTGGCGTACGCAGTTAGTGAAGTGCTTTCGGAGCACATTAATTCGACAAAACAAATAGGCAGGTTGGTAATTTACCTTCCAAAAGAAGATGGTTCCCCCTCCTATGATCTCTATCATCTACAAAAATATACTCACATAATAAGAACAAAATGATATGAAATTTATGGCAATATACAAAGAACAGTTGCTCAAATGTTTCCCTCTTTACCATTATAAGACCTGTCCTTTGATGAGAAATGCCTCCGTTCACGCTATTCAAGCTCATCACGGAGGTTTCTATTCTGCAACTCATCCTGGGTGTCCTGCCCATCCTTTCTGCATTCCCACGCATGCAAAACAAACCGTTAAATAAGCTCATTTATGATAGAGCTACAATACATCTCTAAATGCTTAGAAGTAGGATTTTGAACTATGTTGTTCCAACTCCTCATTTTTCTAGAAATACCAGTGTTTGACATTTGTGCCCAACACATGTAGATGGGGATATGACTTCCAAAAACCCTACAGATACATGAAGAAACTTGAAAATTTGACTATACACGTAGGAGACACATACTCATATCCGAAACGCTGACACCTAAGTAACATAGATTCTGGATACAGAAAATCTCCAAAATCAACCCTTGTAAATACATCACTTCAACATCATACAGCTGAAATGACAACAAGACCAGGATAACAGTAAATACCTGATGAACAAATAAGATTTAATTTCAACCAGAATCATTTCCTTCCATATACAGACATCACACATTCAATTAAGAATAAAAGCAAAGCTAACAACGTATCAAAAATATTTTTTTAATAAATTTTATTTGGGACCATTGACACCCTAATGCATATGAACACAATTATACATTACAGAGGATGTTTAAAAAGAATCACCTAGGCTTTAGAGTAGTATGAGCTGCAAGGTCCCTAGAAATATACTTCTGATACGGGCCGAAAATGCGAGTACCACCTTGTTCATTCCCACCTTTAGCAGGTTGCCATGTTGGTCTAGCAGCAGTCGTCATGTTTTCTTCAAAATGTTATCAGCAAATAACCTGAACCTGCCTAACTAAACATATATGCTCATAACAATCAGTTCAGGAATCTAAGAAAGGCTAAAAATTAAAATGAAGAAAGAGCTAAATTACTTGAAGAGTTGGCTAGGTTTATAAACAAATTTTGTCGTACAAGAACAAGTGCAAAAACAACAATTCATTGGATGCATCGATGCACACCCAATAACCAGAATCTTCCAAATTCAACATATATTCTTATAACAATCAATGAAACATAAATAAGAAAAAAATGCCTTAATAATTAATTATCAAAATTAATTATCAGCTCAAAATAAAAAGAAAGAGCCAAATAACTTAATAATTGGTTCAATTGAAAAAATGATCATATACGAAAAGGCGCAAAAACCATCAAAGAATAAAGTGTAAAAATGCCATTTAATTACAGGAATAATTAGACCATCAAAGAATAGGAACTTCTAGCAGAATTTGATCTCTTAAATGAGAAATAATTTTTGACGATGTCGAGGGAGATTGGTATAAATAAAAATTGATTTTTGAAAACGACTTGAACTCATGGCCATTATAAAATTCTCATGTTGTTATCAATTGGTCAAATTTACGTTAAAATAAAAAGGACCAAAAATTTTAATCCATCTATTTCTTTGTGACAATGTAAATTAAAGATGCTGAGCCTGAGCTTCACATATTCTTAAATATGTTGCAATTTCCAATCATTTGGAATGAAGTGCAATTACAAAAAACAAATTAATGTTTTGTATAGAAAGTTAACCGATGGTGAGATAAAATGATTGTTTTATATGATTGGCGGTGGAGTCATGAATAATTGGTTATTACTTAATTTTAAAAAATAATAAATTAAAATTCTTTGAATGATATTAATGGTTAAAATGAATATTTTTTTTGAAGTTTTGAGTTTGAATAGTTAATTATGCAGAGTATATACACGCTGTCAATGATTAATAAAATTTATGAATATATATATATTATAATTAGAAAAAATAACCTCAGTGATAAAAAATGCCTTATAATATACGAATTTAACCAACTTTTTTTGGATTTGCCAAAATGACCAACAAATTCGCAACGCGAATTCCAATTTCGCAACCCAGTTTCCAATTCCAATTTCGCAACACGAATATGTAAATTCGCGTTGCGATTTTCCAAATTCGCAACGCGATAGTCAAATTCTCAACGCGATAGTCAAATTCGCAACGCGAAAGTCAAATTTGTAACGCGAAAGTCAAATTCGCAACGCGAAAGTCAAATTCGCAACTGAATTTCAAATTCGCAACGCGAATTTAATTTCGCAATAGGATTTAGTTTTGCAACACAAATTTTTTGGGTATATAACAACGCATCAGCAGCAACTCATAACCTAAATCCCTAAATCGCAACTCATTCCATCTCCATCTATCACTTTCTCCGGCGACATCCGTTCCTATATCCAATAACATCCTTCCCCATCTCTATTTGTTTTACATAATTTTATTTCTATATAATTTTTCAATGATTTATCTCTCAAATTATCAACTATCAACTTAATAAATGTACGTTTTTCTCTAAGTTAGTGATGATATCTAGTTTATAGCTCGTTTGTTTAGTAAATTAATTTACAATTTTTAGAATGAAATCATCTAATGTTGATCATGTTTGGATAGATTTGTGTTTTGGAGGGTCATGGGAGATGTTCATGGTGTTTTACAATATGTGCCTTTACCCATGAATCTTCAACTAAAACTGTCATTAAAAAAGTTAACTTATGAAACTCTA